TGCGGCCGGACGCGGGACGGGACGCAAGGCTCCGCCCCAACTAACCACCCCCTCCATCCCACCAACGCTTCGCGCGCTGAGCTCCAGACCTAGACGCTGTGAGGGCCAATAGGTACAGCTGGTGGGGGAGGCCCCGCCCCGAGGCTTCCCGGGCCATCACCCTCTTAGCATAATATATGCGGTGCCCGTCTCAATTGCATGGAGTGGCTGTTGGCTTGGGACTCAACGTTCTGGGTCCCGGTGGCTTTGCTGGAGTGGCCCCAGCACCTTGCGTCCTCCCGCAGTGCGCGCCCCGGCTTTCCGAACTACTCCCAGGTCAGCGCACCCTTGGGCGCCCGCCCTCCCCAGCACCGCCCCACACCCAACGCTACCCCCGCAGCCTGGGCTCTGTCCAAGGTGCTGCCACCCGGGGCCGTTCGGACAGGTCAGGTCTAGAGCCGGCACTCCCCAGTCCAGGGATGATCTATCCACAGGCCTGGCTCCCCTGGAGCGCAGCAAGGCGCGCCCAGATGTCCCCTACAGTGTTCCTGACATTCCGGGCGCCATCGGGAGAGGCCCTGCCCTTTGGACAGTCTTCGAGCTCAACAAAACTCACTCTATTATCGCCCACAACGTACACTTTCCGCCCCGCCCAGGACAGGCAGGAAATGGAGGGGAAGAAAGAGGGCAAGTGGCCAGGGAAGAAAGTTCACTCCCTGCCTGGGTTCATACTAAGGTGGGGCCCAGGAAGGCATCTTCTTCCGCTTAATCTGGCTCACAGCCTCACAGCCTGCCTTTCCCCTCGCCGCCCTTCTCCAGAACCCCGCCCACCCATCCTTCCGCAGGCGATTCCTCAGCCCTCTGCATTTCAGCTGGCTCCCAGAAACTGCGTGGAACGCCCTTAACTTGCATGGGCACACCCAACCCTTTGCTTCAGTATCATCAACATAATTTCCCACCACTTAAGAATTTGCAGAGCCCTATACCAAAATAGGTCCTTTATTCAAAGTGTGTGTCTGGTCTTTTGACCACTTTTGTTGACCTCTCACATTTCACTTAGGGCAGCAGTCCAGGACTACCCCCAGAGGGGCTCAAAGACCCTGAAATCAGAGAGCTCCTTATCAAGGCCCATGAGGAGGGGAGCCGATTCCTCTTGCCATTTGGCCTGGACCATCTGGACACCTAGAGTTAGGCCAAGTTCCCAATAATAGTACCAGATGCTTCCTGTCTGACGACTGGCCTCTGAGAGATGAACAGAGGCAGAGCTGCCCTTAAAAAAACTGGAAGGCCAAGGCAGAGTGCGGCATGGAGTCTCTGGTGTCCATCACACTGTTGGAGGATCCAGTGGACCCCGGGGGTCCTGAGTCAGAGAGCAGAGATGAGCGAACGCAGGGAACTCTGGCTGGAGGCGCTCAGGGGTCGGTAAGTCGAGGCTAGACCCTCAGCCTGGGAGTCCCCAGGGGGGCAGGGCAGTGCCACCCCTCCAGGTCGGCGGTACCACACAGCCCAACTTCTCCCAGAGCCCTGGGAAGGCCTCAAGGGTGGGGGCCCTTTTCCTGGAGCCAGTAGACAGCTCCTAGAGAGGGAGTAGACATCAGCCAAAGACCCAACCAGTCTCACCCCCAGCATCCTGCTTCGCCTGTGATCCCAGGCTCGATTTCCTGTGTAGACCCAAGGTCCCTCAAGAGCCTAGGAGTTTCAGCTCCATTCCTCATCTGGGTCCCAGCTTCCCACCAGACCGCCACTCCCCCCCTACCCCCCGCCACTCCAGTCCCCCACCACGCGCCTGGGCACCGAGGCATCAAGTATCAGGTGCCCGACTGCCCAGCTGGGTCACCCTCAGGCCCTGCCCCAGCGTGCGCACCGTCGGCGCAGCAGGCGTAGCAGCGACAGCAGTAGCAACAGCAGCAGCAGCAGCAGCAGCAACACTGAGATGGCCATCACTGTCGAGAATACCCGGGCTGTGGGCACACAGGTGCGGTGAGGACAGGGCTCCAAAGAGCGCTGCTTCCCAAACTCCCGCCCTCCTCAAGCTCCTGCCTCACCCCCCATTGTGGCCTCCGGAGCCCCAAGCCGGGGGCTGCAGCTCACATTAGTCCCGTCGGGGAGCACTGCAGGGGTCTGGGCCGAGCCCTTGGGGAGCACCGGGTTCTCCGAGGCATCCTGCACGCCTGTGGAGAGGGGTGTGAGGCAGCGTGGCTGTGGGGCAAGCCCCGGGGGGATGGGGCGGGGCCTCACCTCGGTAGGTG